TACTGTTCAGCCTATATGGATGATGTTATCATCTATTCTGATGGTGATTTATCCGACCATTATAAAAAGGTTGAAGAAGTTATCAGACGACTCGAAGAATCTGGCTTACGGTTAGACATCAACAAATGTACCTTTGCCACGTCTGAAGTCAAATATCTTGGGTTCGTAATCAAGGCTGGCGAGGGTGTTACAGTTGATCCAGCCAAAATAGAAGCCATCAAAAACTGGGAGGAACCAACGACAGTTTCTGAAACCCGCTCTTTTCTCGGTTTCGCAAATTTTTACCGAGAGTTTATTCCAAAATTTTCGGCCATTGCCCAGCCATTGATCAGTCTCACATCGAAACAAACCCGCTGGAGCTGGGACACGAAAGAAAAAGATGCATTCGAAAAGCTTAAGTCTATGCTATCCTCAGCACCATTATTAGCGCTTTTTTCAGCCGAGAAAGAAACCTATTTGGAAGCAGATGCCTCTGGCTATGCTATCGGTGGGGTTCTTTCTCAAATTGACGAAAAAAATCGTCTAAGACCAGTAGGTTACTTTTCACGTAAATTGACTCCAGCAGAATCAAACTATAACATTCATGATAAAGAACTGCTCGCTATTATAACAACAATGCGCCATTTTGATGGTGAGCTTCGAAGCGTTGAAAATCCTTTTACCGTTATCTCAGACCATCAAAATTTACGATATTTCACAACTTCAAGACAACTTAGCGAACGTCAAGTGAGATGGGCCGAGACCTTGGCAAGGTTTAACTTCAAAATTTTATTCCGGCCTGGCTCCCAGTCCGGTAAACCAGACTTTCTTTCGCGGCGGGCACAAGAAGCCCCGCGGGATACGTCGGACGAGCGGTTACAAGGCCGCAATATCCAGTTGTTCAAAAATAATTTAAGCACGTCTTCACCAGAAGAATTCATCTTAAATACAATAAACATTGTAGACTTTCCGGATATGACCTTGAAACATATTGAAACTGACCAGAATATCATGCCCAGCGGCAAAAAATTATTTGAAGATAAGGAAATTGCTTCTTTGTGGGACGAAGCTCTAGAAAAAGACCAAGCTTTTCACAGTATTCATGCATCAGTCGCTGCAGGCCAGTCTACTTTACCTATAGACCTTAAATTAGGGGTTCAAATGACAGATTGTAGCCTAGATGACAGAGGCGCGTTAACACGACGAGGTGCGCTATGGGTTCCAAATTGGGAGCCACTGAGAACAACGATCATACAACGTTCTCATGACTCAAGTATTACTGGACACCCCGGAAGAGACGGTACCCTTCACATAGTGTCTCGAGCATTTTTTCGCCTCAACAATATTTAGACATTTGCAGATTCACGCGAAACTGCTCGATCTGTAGTCGATCTAAAGCGTGGCGTCAATGCCCGCAAGGATTACTCAGACCACTCCCTGTACCTGAACGCTTTCATAGTGAGTTGTCGGTAGATTTCATGACAGACTTGCCTGCGCAAAAAGAAGACGACCCCAAATATCTTATGGTTATCACTGACCGTTTACTCAAGAGCTGCACCCTAGAAGCAATGAATTCGATGGAAGCTGAAGCTTGCGCAGAACGCTTCCTAACTTGTCATTATCGTTTTCATGGGTTTCCTAAATTTATAACATCAGACAGAGGGGCAAATTGGGTGGGTCATTTCTGGACTTCTTTATGCAAAATGACAGGTATTAACCAAAGATTGTCGACCGCTTACCATCCGCAGACCGATGGTAGTACAGAAAGGATGAACCAAGAAGTGTTAAACTACCTCCGAGCATTTATTAGCTACTCGCAGATAGACTGGTCTAAACTACTCCCAACTGCCATGTTAGCACTCAATAATAGAAAATCGACAGTTATTGGCACTAGCCCATTTTTTGTTACTCACAGCTATGATGCTGAACCAATACAACAAACACATACTAATTCACGAGCAACAAAATCACCGCAAGCCCGCGCGCGAGCATTCGTAGACCGAATAATACAGGGTCAAAGCATGGCACAGGCAGCTATGACAACAGCACAGCAATTAATGGAAGAATCAGCCAACCATCATAGGAGACCAGCGGAACGTTTCAAACCGGGCGATACCGTCTGGCTAAACCTTAAAAACGTCGAAACCCCGCAACAAAAAAAGAAACTCTCATGGACTCAAGCAAAATACAGAATACAAAAAGAAATTGCACCTGATGTGTATCAACTAGATGTACCAACAGGCATACATAATCGATTTTTTGTAGACTTATTAAGGCATGACCCAAATGATCCACTGCCTTCACAAAAAGTCGATGACACACAGCCGCCCCCGTTAGTTGATGGAAAACATCCGTTGTATGCTGTTGAGAAAATAGTTCGCGCTGAAACAATCAATGGGCGTCGCAAAGTCCTGGTATTCTGGAAAGGGTTTGCTGAACCCACATGGGAGCCTCGACAAAATCTTAAGTTAACAGATGCCTACAAAGAATTTGTCAAGCAGTACGGGGATGGCGACAAAGTTGGTCTTCAGTTAGGGATGTTTACAGGTCGAACATTAAGAAATCGAACTATGCAAAAAAGAAAAACAAATAAATGAAACCGGGGGAGGAAAGTAATGTCATAGGACACTAATCACGTGCTACAATGTACGCTTGGACCAGTGAGGAACCACTTTTATGTGTATATAGTATTGCGTTAGCCACCATGTCTTTCTCTCCTCATAGATTACAATCATATTATTGTTTTGCCTTTTAGTCAGAGTCTTTCCTGACCCTCATGCTATCACAATAAATAATTCTATAAAGCCTCCCGTGAGAGATATTCTTCCACATACCTCCAGTCTCAACCATTCAAGCTTCCGGACAAGCTCAAAAGATTCGACACTAACTCGAATAATATCAGCACTTTTCCAGAAATATCACACCAATTCAGTTGAATGTAAATTTAATGCTCATGATTAATTCTGATTAAGGTGTTGAGAATTGATACCCGTCTCATTAGAATACAGTCACTATTCTACGTATCCAACCTAGATGTAACGGCTGGTAAGCCGATTGGTTCCTGAAGCCTATGTTGGTTAACTTAGGCCTGATTTGAGTGGCGTTATTAATGACTACCAATGCACTAATGTTGTGGATCCTGAATTCCAAGTCCAGGCGAGCCGCCGAGTTAAATATTCCATCAAGAATGCACCCCTCGCATTCCTTGGTCACAACCCGGGCGGCTAAGCACCTCACTCCTCCCCTACTGTACTCTGATGGTTTACTTGTCATTTATCATAGATCTTTACCTTATCTGGAATAAAGGGGATTTCATGTATTTAAGGAGGAGTTAGAACGTTAATAGAAATACAAATTTACACCTAGCCTTAAGCTCTACATACATGTAGATTTTCGTAGTCGGAGCCACGAGACATCCGTGAATTTCACAGTCAACATTTATCACTTTATTCTTACTGACGTGCACAAGAAACCTCAGTGTGCGGCGCCATCCAATACAATACTTTTGCGTCGGCATTTGCATGGTATTCACATGGCATCGGGCTCGGCAGTGCGGCACGGCAGTACGTAACTGCACCACATGTTGATAGACTTGCACTGGCTGGGAATATACGAGACCGAGTACAATCCCTCCGGACCATAACGCGATAGTGCTGTATTACAGGCACAGTCAGAACACTAGGGGAGCCCCATAGCATAGGGAGGGGAGAGGGATTAGCCTCGGTGGCGAGGAGGCTTTCACGTATATAAATGACTAGATAGATGTAGTGGAAGTTCTCTCCTTAGAATTATTATTTACTACCATCGACCACATAGTTGCCCTAGCACCTGTCCCTCGAAACTGTGACACTAGAGACATATGGTAAATTTTCACCTATTGGGCAGTTTCTCTAATCCTCTCCATCGAATAACGGCCAATCATTCCGATTAGTTCCGACGTGCTTCAAACAATTTGTTCTTGATTCTTCAACCTAGACAATTTGAAGTTTATAAAAGTCGAGTCAGAAGGAACAGTTCTTTCATCTGGTCAAAAATATATATCTTACCCTTGAAATCTTCAATGGTCTTATCCAATGCCCTGATTATTCTTCTGTACAGTGGTGCTCGGTCATCAGATGTTTCAATATAACGATATTCATCGTTAAAAAGTATTCGTCATAGTTTCTCCGCTAGTCTTTTCAGCCCTTTAAAACTAGTTAAGAATTTGTCGAGAACTTCTGTGTCGAAATGTTCGACACCGTCTCTTTTGATTTAAAGTTCGATTCAATATCGTCTGTGCAACAATCATTTAGATTGTTGACCTCGTCTGCAGATACGTCTTCATATTCTATACATCCTAAGATGAACACATAGAAGAGTGACTCCAGATCATGGCGACATGTATGCCCAATGGACTTCCTTTTTTGGGCAAACTTCAGTCTCTCTAGTGCCATGAACTTCATGATACCCGTTATGAACCAATCATCTTCCAAAGTCATATTTCCTTTCATATTCACGGAATGATCTAGGTGTCAAGGTACCAGATAGTTATCATATAATATACATCGTGTAAAACGTGATCGCTTAAACATATTAAATGATTACTGTCTTGTACCTTGGCACTAGGTCTATCAGCTGTGACGGCTGTTAAGCCGAAAGATTCCTGTAGCCTACGCTGGCTAGCGTAGGCTATGGCACAAGGGGAAGGTCTCGGAAGCCACAGAACTTCGAATATTCTCAGTGAACCTTCTGGAAACACACTGAAGGTTCATGAGGATAACAGGTGTGCCGAGAACCTTCTAGGTAGTTGTAGAAGCGTCTCAATTATTCAGGTCACAGGGAGAATCATCTTGAAGGGCAGTAATTTAGAATATATATATATATATATATATATATATATGTAGACTTTACATCGAGGAATTCTCTCTCCAGAGAATTATAATTAATATACTGTACTTACAAGATCGCCCAAGCATTTTGTACTGAAACCGTGACATCAGCATCCTGTTTAAATCATCCTCTGAATTTGGCTTCAAAAAAAATTATATTTCCTTCAGAAATATCTCCATGAAGAATCTCTTTACCAGGGAGTCTTTGGTGCCCCTTGATGGCATCCCGAATGCCGGCGACGAAACCAAAAATTGACCCGTTGGAGTAAACAGCTCGGCAATATTCAATAAATAGACTTCAGTATTTTTTTCTGCACTGCTCCACGAGTACTTAATCACTTTTGATTCGTCCTTCGCTTCGTAGCAAGTCGTACCTCGAGTTATCAGTCTCATTGGTTGTACTATAGGTCCAGACTCAAAAACAATTGATGGGCCCGGAACCTCTCCACTTCTAGAGAACTGGTCAAATTCCTCTTCTCCATTTTGAGTGATGGAGGTATCACGTCTAAGTTCTTCATTGCTCAATAAAATATACGAGCTTATTGCTCGTATCAACATCTCCTTGTCATCAACAATACTCTGTAAGCCAGCGCCATAGGCTCCCGAGCGATCGAAACCCCACAGCTCGAATTCTTCTTGGAACAAACAGAAACCATGTAGAAACCGCCGTAGAGGCTGAGCAAAAAATACCTCTCGAACAGACCTTGAAAATTGCACAAACTTATCTTTTCTTCCCTCTCCACCACGTGATATGGTGAACTCACCCACCACATTTATATCCTGCCAATCAACATGACTTTTTTTTGGCAAGTTAATACTTTTAGCGAGAAAGTCAATTTGGACCTTGCCCATTGATTCTATTGCACGCTTCTTTCGGTTCGTACGACTATATTGTCCTTTTATCTGGAAGTAAGGCTCTTTCATGACAATTGGATACCTTTTTGATGGTTTTGGTGCAGGGCCTTTGAGTTAGCTCAAAATTTTATGTTTGAAAAATCTGAGCCAGTCCCACACCTCTCTTTCTTCCATGCTTACATCAAGGATCTTCACTTTTTTAAGCTTATGTAGATTTTTCCGTTAACAAATATCTTTTGAATTCTTCATCTTCTCGAGTTCTTTTGACTTTTCCTCCTTCTCGGCATTACAATGCTTTTGATAACTTTCCAAAATTCGGGAAGTCTATTCAGACCAACCCTTATTTTCAAAGAAGACTTCTCAGAAATTTCCGATTTGATAGAATACGTTGTTATTAAATTCAGATTGAATGAAATTCTTAAGACCCTTGGCTGTGCTGTTAAAATCTGATACTTTTGTAATATTTTTTGTAAATGTCGTGTTACTTTACGACGGGTCCAATTGCAATATACTTTTCGATATTTATTTGGGTGCACGGATGGATAATTTTAGGATATCGCGCTCAGTTTTAATTGCAGAGACTGGCGGTTATCAGTTTATCAAAACGTCGAGATCGGATTGGCCATCAAAGATATTGACTGAAGTCTTATTGAAGTTGGCTAGTTCATAAATCCTGTTATAATTCCCTGCTCGAAATGCGTAAGAGCCCAGCTGATTGTGGTATTTATTAAGAACTATAAATTTAGCTAGACTCTTCCTGGGCAGCGATGCATTATTTACCAAAATTAATAGTATATTTTTGATAGTTACTTCTAAACTCCTGGAGGATATCCTCAATTGGCTTCTCAGAATGATAATCTAAAAGCTCTCTTTGTTGGGACATGATGCAAAGAAAGGTTGCGAGTTGATTGGTGTGGAAGATTTGGATGATGGGAAGATGGGAAGTAAGTTGCCGTTGAGAATACGAGTTCAATCGCGTCTTTATAGGGATTCACGTCACATGATCATCATGTCGGTTGTCACCTTCCTTTTATCAGGCTGCACAGTTATTGATGAGGAGGGCAAGACTGAAAGCCTGTACGTGATGTGCACTACGAAATTCGGAGTGAATTCTTGTACGAAGCTGAGATCCAGTTACAAAAATGTGAGTGTTTAAGCGAGTTTTCATCGAGATGGCGATTAGGGGAAGTAAGGTTGATACGTTTTTGGTCCAAAATCTAGCCTGTGGAGATTTCACTTCTACACAAATCATTAAAACTAATTATCTACAGCCCTATCACGAACCATTGAGATGATAAAACATGTCCAATTTTAGTGTCTAAAAAAACTGATATCGTTCGCTATCTCTTGTCTACCAAAAAGATTTTTAGTAGATAAATTGATCTTGAGATCTACAGAAGCTATTCATAACCCAAATTTCATACTCGCTGTGTAGGATACAAATAGACATAAATCCTGTCGCAATATCGTGCGTATTGAAAATATGGTTGCAGTACAGGCCTTATTTTCGTCTACAACTTGGCCATGGGCACTGACTACATCATAAAATTTTCTCGATCCATGGAGAAAATTTGCTATTCTGATATCATAATATCTGTTGAATTAGTATGTGATGTAACGAGAATTCCTTATGATGTTGCTCTTAGTTCGCTGTGTAACAATGAAGTTGGAAGTGGTATGCTTTAGGTGGAGAAATGATGAGTCTCAACAATTCTAGTTTGAAATGTGTACATTTGGTAGGAAAGATATGATAGCAATTGAGGCTAAATATTATGTAAATATACACATGCTCATATAGGAGAAAATAGAAATTATCCGAATTTGAACAATAAGTTCAGGTAATATCTGGCACCATACCAATGCAGGTACTGCCAAAATAACTGCAGCCTGGTCAATACTCAACGAGCTGGATCTCATTTTTATGACTAAAACCTACCAATACAAAGATTCATCTTTTTGATGGATGCGGAGCTGCAATCACTTTCTTACAGCTCTGTTGTATCAAGCAGTACCATCGTTGCTGGGAATTCCACGCCACACCTTTTTTTTTAAATCATTTGATGTGTATGCAGCTATCTAGCTATGAAAAATAAACGGTACTTTATACAAATGTTGGATGACCCTTTTAAGGTTAGAGACACTCATACTCTGGATTTCATTCGCAAATACCACTATGAGGTATGCTTGCTTACACAAACAGTCAACCCTCCTCCGTAAGTACCCACCGAAGGGAATTTCATAACCTTTGGTTATCCAAGCATGCCTTCGTCATCCATGCATACCAGCGCCGCGAGAAATTTGATTGTGTTTTGCCGGATTTGAAGCAGCGATCTACTGTCTCAAGTGGGATATGTGTCCAAGCTATCCAGACTCTACTTGGCAGACCGGCCAAGACAATGTACCACCGCACCATCCAACCATGGCAGTTTTTATAGTGTCGGCTGCACTCTCGCAACCGAAGACTTGACACGCACAAAGCTCAATTTGTAAAAACTCCTTGACAATATTCAAAATTTCACGCCCGTCGAGACTGTATCCATCCGTCGCATCATCTTGTTAACTTTTCCTTAATACTCTCACGCCAATCCCAAAGAATAGTCTCCCAGATTTGTGCGCCACGCTTTGTGTCCTCCGTCGGGTGTAAATATCGGCTTGGGCGTGTATTTGGTGATCGGCTGAGGCCAGAGAAAGTCAAAGAGAGATGTGGTCATTGGGATGAGGATGTACTATGTCGTACTTGTAGACTTGATGAGGCTTGGGTGGAAGTCAAACTCGTTGGGAGCGGAAAAACGACGTGGTGGAGTAATTTAAATCATTGCCTCGTGGGCCAACTTCTTTGATTTTGCGAAATTTGACTGAACTTGGCTCTGGGGGAATATTTCACTCCCAGGTTCGCAGAGGACACGGCGTACAGGTGTTCAGTCTTGCCCTCCAAGAGAATTATTCGGCATGGTTTTGTATGCACATAAATACTATTACATGCTTATGACCAATTCACCTTCAATAATTTGGACAGACCATAAGCCCTTGACATTCTACCTCGAATCTCCCCTAGTTTATGGAATCTCCAGTCGATGGGCATTAGAACTTGCAGCGTTAAATGTCGAGATCAGATACATCGAGGGTCCTAAGAATAAGGCTGCAGATGCACTCTCACAGACAATATTCCTAGATCCTGGGTGTGCAAAGGACAACATTTTGGACTCACTAGATGATATTATCGACGATCAGGATGGTAAGGCTCAGTGGGTACGGGAATAAGGGAAGGGGGGATATGTAGAACTTCTATGACTACGCAAGATCCAGGAAGGTGAGGCCATCAACCTTGATTCAAAATCGGTTGAGTACTCAGCCAATCCTCTGCATAAGGATAGCTTCGAGGAATACTTAGATGCTCTCGCTACACAAATGGAAGAAAGAGAAACGCACTCTAAATATTACGAGCCGAGATTGATACACACTCCTCGAACTTTGAGCTGAATTGACTCATTTTCAGTCGCAAGTATTCCTATATCAACACCTACGATGATAATAACGTTGGATGAGGAAGGGATACTGTGGAAAAATCAAAAAATGGTAGTTCATGCAGCCCTTGTTGTAATCCAACATCCGTTTCCCACTGGCTGGCGAGTGAGAAGCTCGCGGAAGCCATTGGACTCGTAAGTCCCTAGGACGAACAAGATTTGAATTATCAGAACTTCCCTTTCCATCTTACACATCATTTAAAAAGCCAGAACTGAAGTTCTGCATGAGTTACTAGATGTTTGCGTATAGTTCCATTATTTGATGCTACGATGGGGTCCTTCACGACAATCGATCACGACCACAGATTTTATATCAAAAAATCAAAACCAACACTCTATCCAGCGGTCAAGACAAGGAGCGAAACTATCGGGAGGCGAGGAAGTGAAAAAAACGCTCCTAATTGAATAGAATCCTACTATATCCAAAGTGTGGACCCCCAAAATGCTCTGGAAGGCTAGGTGTATATTCAGATACTGTCCTATATTGGAAGCAAGGCGGTACATCAGCCACTAATTTTTAAAAATTTCCCCTGTAGCAAGAGAATTACATTTGTCTTTTGCTTGGTTAGCTGGAGAGGGGAACAAAATGAGGTATGAAACGTGGTAATAAATGTATGCCAGTATTAAGACCAGCCAAGGTGTTAAATCTGTATAGATTATCTGGATGAAGCATATAAGGGTTTATCCTGTGAAAATTTTTAATTCTGATCCGCAGTTGTAGAGGAATGATAATTCTACACTTAGTGTTGAGTTCAACAGGTCGACGATACACTAGAATCAAAATCTAAGGGCAGGTGTTGACTGACTTGGGCATTGTTTGAGTCAATCTAAAAGCCACCCCTCTAATCTGTTATCTTTTCTATTGGTGTCCAGCTCTTTGATAGCAGTGGGCGACAAGGATAATCATGATCCTCGAGAAACCCTAGATGTGGAGGGAAGACGATTATCAATGCGCAAATGGAGTGAAATACAGGATTTTGGAATGGATGGTTCAACCGAACGATTTAGGTGTACCCCAACTCATATCAAAGGTCGATGACTTCTCATCAACGTCACTCACCACACGAACGCCTGACTGAGCGAGTTCGTCTGTGACTTTGGCCCAATGCGTATCATCAATCGCTTTCGTGGCCTCCCGCACAACCACGGTCTCAAAGCCCTCGCGAGCAGCGTGAATTGCTGTCTCTTTTACACAGTACTCCAAGGCCAGCCCCGTGACCCATACGTGTGTGACATTCTTCGCCTTGAGCACCCCTAATAGGTCGCTTCCACGACCCCACATGTCATAAAAGCCAGAATACATCTCAGATGCCTCATCTGTACCCTTTTCAATTAAGATATCGATTTTTGCGGTAGCCAACTCATGGACAAGATCAGCTCCTGGGGTTCCCTTCACGCAGTGATCGGGCCATAACCTAATAGAGTATTTTTCATTTGGATTCATCGGGTCGGACTGAGTGAAAGAATCGGAGAACGCTGATTTCCCGACATGGTTTGAAGCGAAAGATATATGCGTCTTTGGATGAGAATCTTTGGTAGCTACCTTGACGATGAAGGGGTAATCGAGTAGCTGGTTGATTTTAGGAATAATGTCTCGAGCATTGGGAACAATGAGCGACCCATTCTTTGATGAATTAGCCAAGGCCGTGCCGGATGGGGTCAGAACAGACAGGAGGACAGAAGTCTTCTTGGAGATCGACAATTATCAAAGCTGGAACAAAGGGGGGGCATGATTTGATTCTCCCAATTTCAGGCGTTGAAGGCGATGAGTGAGGGCTTGTCATAACTTTGGACGGAGAGGAGTCTTGTAAAGCTTAGTTATCGATAGTGATGGCTCCCACTAGTCATTAACTCGTGTTCGTGGGTTGCCTTGGCATCTTCACTCTCCCAGAATGTCTCTGATCAACAAACTCCCCTATTCTCAGGGCATGCTCCATGGGTTTTGTGTTCGGTCCTCATCTTCAAATTTAACCCAATTTGAGGAACAATAATTCATATCATCAAGCCCATGAATTGAGAGCTGTTCTGTTAACCAACTGACTGAGTCAGCAGCAGGGTAACGCATAACCGATTATAATTTGGCTGACACGTCCGAATAGCGAATTACATAATGAAACAGGCAAGATCTACAATTATTCTGTGCACCTCGTCCTCCTTTTGATACGTCTTCTACGAATTCCCCTTTCGTCCTGTTATCTGTAAATTCATGTTTTTCAGTCCAAACCAACTTTGAGCTTGATTATATCAGCCGAATTAGCTTTACAAAGTGCTATATGAATGGTGGTACATACAAACATGGCGACGCCATCACCACCCAAGCCTTGGGAGAGGGGAGGAACTACAGGTTAGTCCCTATCTAATTAATGTCGCCAAGAGAATCAAAAGACTGATTCCTCTCACCTAGCAACAACGTCAAACGTTGAATTACCTATATCACCCTCTAACCCAAGCTCAACGGCTGCACTTCCGTTAACGTCAACGTCAAGCGCTCCAGTGATTCCTGAGCGGCCGGCAAGTCTTAACTCAGCAATTCCTCGAAACGCCAATGCGTATCCTCCCTACAGTGCCAATAGAGTCGGTGTAAACTCACCTTACGGGGGAATCTCTTCGACATACGGAAACCCATACTCGAGAATGGGCTACGGCGCCATGGGCGGTATGGGTGGGGTATACGGTATGGGTGGGATGGGTGGTATGGGCTACGGCAGTATGGGCAACATGTATGGTGGTATGGGCGCAGACCCAAACGACCCTAATAGCTTGACAAATGGTCTCACGCAGAACACTCAGGCTACCTTTCAAATGATCGAAAATATTGTAGGCGCATTCGGCGGATTTGCACAGATGTTAGAGAGCACTTACATGGCAACTCATTCGAGCTTTTTCGGTATGACTTTATTCCTCAACGGTGGAGTTGTAGCTAACCGTTTTAGCCATGGTCTCAGTGGCAGAACAATTTGGGAACCTTAAGAATTCCCTAGGCTCGATCCTAGGAATATTTACCCTGATGAGATGGCTTCGGACGCTCTTCGCCAAGCTAACCGGCCGACCGCCACCAAGTGACGCGATGTCTCTCACTCCGCGAGCGTTTGCTAGATTCGAAGGCCGGAAATCTCTTCCTGATGGCTCACCCGCTAGCTCGGCTCGACCAAGTAAAAAGCCATTATTATTCTTTGCTGCCGCTGCTTTTGGCTTACCATACCTAATGGCAAAGTTGATAAGAGTCCTTGCCGCATCGCAGGATGAAGAACAGCGTCGATTAGCAGCCGCAGGACAATTAGTATCTCAACAAATTGATCCATCAAAGTTGGAATTTTGTAGAGTTATTTACGACTTTACTCCCGAATCAGGGGCTGCGGTAAAAGGTGTCGACCTGGAGGTCAGGAAGGGTGATTTAGTTGCTGTCTTAAGCAAGAGCGATCCATTGGGGAACCCAAGCGACTGGTGGAGATGCAGAGCCCGAGATGGTCAGATGGGGTACCTACCCGGTGTTTACCTAGAAGTAGCTAAAAGGCCAGGAAACCCAGTCGTACAAATACAGAATCCTGAACAGAAGAAAGAGCTTAAGAACCCCACCATGAAGGCCTCTATGCCCATGGAGGAGAGCGAAATGGGAGCTAATAGCATGGAAAGTTTTCAAAGGAGCCAATTTAATTCATAAACGGTCATTCACTACGCATCTTGGGAGTATTGTGAGTAAAAGTTAACAGGGTTCTGGTGTAGGCTGAGGGGAATTTGTCACTGGAGTATAATATCTTGAATTTTTAATATTACATCGTTTTTATCAAAGTCAGCCGGGTTCAAGCGTTAGATTGACGCGATTAAATTCGGTACAAGCCTGATCACTTCAAATTTTTGTGTTGACAACAGCTCCATGAAGCCGATGAGTATAATAGCTTGCATAGGTTATCAATACGTAGCCATAGTACATTTATTAGCATGTGTGAGAATAACAGACCTTTGTATAATTTTTTCCGTGGAATACTACCAAATTGATTCCGTGTGGTATTTCGGGCCCAATAATACGTTCAAGCTAGCAATCTTCGCGTGGCAGCAAGGAACTTTGTTAGCTACCCATGTCCCATCGTAGATATGAAGGCTTCACAACTATCCACCGACAATTTGTGCACGTTAGGGCTGGATCGAACGGCTCGGACAGGCCTGAGAAACCGTAGAACAACGTAGTACGACCAGCTCATGGGGCCGAGTAGCGGTGGCCGAGAGTGACGAGTAAAGACTCGGAGAAGCGAATCTAATTACAACACAGTGTTTCAGGTCTCAATTTATCTTTGCCATTCTGTTTTTATCTTCTCTAGATATCTACGGTCAGATATTGGGTCTCACGACGATCTTTGTTTTCCAGGGCGACGTTATTACTGTGGATAGTTGTTTCTTGGTAGGCCCTTGACCAGGATGGTTTTCACAAATTACCATAATTATCAGACACCTCGGGTAGTTTGAGCGGAGATGGTAGCGGTTATTAGGACGTCTCAGATGCGTGATTAGAATTGTGATGGGTGGGGGGGTTCAATGCCTTAAATAGTCAGCGATCTAGGATGTCAGCAGTATTTACCAATAGACCACATAATAGACCAAGTGAAGTGGGATCATGCGAGGGCGTCTTGGACTCCTAGGATGTGCGAGGCCAGAAGTAAGCGGCGCGTCCGATTGGCGCTGGTAGAGGAAAAATAGCTGACCGGGGGTAGCTCAGCTCGAGCATGGGCCGTCCCGACGCCAAGCAGACCCTGCGAGCCAGGTTCAGGTTGTCGAATCGGATGGGATGGGTGGCGAGGAAGCGTGAAGAGAATGTGGGGGGACGAGGATTGATGTGCCCTTGAACTTTAATGCCTAATAAAGATCCGGAATCTTGGCTTGGGCCTCGCAGACTCTCCAGCGTCGAGCGGGAACAAGGGGCTAGCGATCGGCTGGATGAGACGGCTAGCATCGGGCATCAACCAGCACGATGTTACGCGTTCGGCTAAGAAAGCCCCGAGTCGGAGCTGCGTCGCAACGCCGATCTTGCTATGTCGCTGGTGCAGAGCTACCAACAACCCAGTGCCCCAAGAACCATGATACTGCGAGGCCTCTACAAGCACCAAAGTAAATCCACCTCCGTCAGCCTTTCGGTAGGCAGATGGAATATGAGACCTGTTCCACAACGAGCAGCTAACGAATTATGGAGGGAGTGTTTCTTGCAGATCGCTGTGAGCCACATCTCTACCTGAACCGGGCCATGCTCAATAAGACGATTCCAATGGAAGACGCAACACCTCTCGGCGGCGTGCGGTCCGAGGCGAAGTCCAATAGCTGCTTGGACGGCTGTTATTCCAACGAGAACACGGCCCAACACACTCTTTGAAAGCGGAAAACGTGAGGCCGGGCTAGCTCTCAGCATACACGCTCCGTCAAGATTTCGCGCGTCATTCAGCACAACCCCGAGCTGTTCCGACGCAAGATTGAGAGGCTGAAAAGGCCGAGCGGGTTTCTTTGCGATGGACAAATGTCAGCAGAGGCCGGCTTCGTCGAAGGCGTGAGGATGCCAGCGATGTCTTTTGACCTAATCCGAATGTCGTGGTTAGGGTAGACCCGTATCCACTGGTTTTTTGGGTTTTTCGGCTACCACACGCCTGCAGAGGGCCTCGGCTGAGCTGGCCGGTGGAGGGGTGACGAGGAGCAGTAGGCCTTTCCAAGTGTATTATCGAGGGAGACTCGTGAGCGCGGCACTGACGGATGGGAAAGCCTACCCGACGCCAGACATTTCCTTGGCGGTATAGAGAGAGGGAGCTCCCATACGCCCTACACACTCATGGTCCGACGAGGGATAATAATAGCAGGGCATGACTCCATCGTCGCCGCGCTATATTGGGCCAATTCTTCCTAGCATCATGTGACCCGACTCTACTCGGGCAAACCGTTCAAATGCGGTAATTGGGTTGCAGTGCGCTAGCTACGCCAACTCAACTTTGAGGCCAGTGGTATCCACGCGAGCCTCTGCTTCCGACGCTCCGTAAACTCCCGCCTCCCTCGTCGTTCGCTCCTTAGCACCCTTGGATGGTCGCTGTCCTTGTGGGCACTGTCTCCAAACTATGGTCCCAGTATAGTGATAATGCCCAGGCGCTATTTTAATGCGCCCAGAGCTGCTTGGCTCGTAGCCCTAACAATGACAGATTGGGACATTAACTTCATGATACAATAAATATACATATGACATTCACGACAATCAGAGACGAATGCGTTTAGATTGGCCTGCGGTGCACAGTCTAGTGCTGGGAACAATCTGTTCTCGCTTCTGTGATTTCTCTGTATGATATGTGACCGTTGACAGGACATTGATATCCTCAAAATGTGCGATAAATTGGCACTGAAAGCGTGTATTAATAATCAAATCTCTTGACCCCCAGCTCGGATCCCTGGCTATATCATCTAATACCTTCGATGTGTGCTTCTGGCCCAAACGCCGTGCCCACCAGATATGGAGTTCAGCATTGCAGCAGGCGCGCCGGCACGACGAGCCTAGCAAACGAGTCTAGCCGGTTTGGGGTAGGGGACCGGTTTCTAGGATAAATCGACTTTGAGTTCATCAGAAGGTGTATGCTTAATTCTATTTCATGGCCCTTCCACAGATGTCAAGTCAGACTGCATCAATATTCCCAAAGTCTACGTTTATGGCCGCCGAATATATAAGTGGAGGGCCCCAAAGCTTAAAGTAACATGATTCTTGGTCGGCGAAGACAGCTATTCGGAACGCCTTGACAATACTAGCCGAGACTACAGGTGTAGTCTGTGCGAATAATTGGAGTATCCTCATTTACTTATTGAAGATCAATCTTGGACGCTTATCCAAACGTTGTTGCATTACTGGTTACTCGATATGTACCTGGGTGTTCATTATTGATTACAAGAGGCTGCCGTTAATTATCCATGAAAACTCAAGCGGGACAAATCCCCCGTTTTACGTGCCAGAGCTGATTCGTGAGGATAATGCGCACATGTGACAAGTTTAGTAGCAGTGTATAATTATACGTGGATGCTTAACTCAGGGTCTATGCAACCTACTCGAGGGGCTGGTGGAACTATTGAACGGCTTAGTTCATTGCAATATGTACTCCGGCACAAGACTTAGTGATCGGTTTTGGCGGTTGTCAATACCCTGTCAATTACCTCGGTGCCTCAGGCCCCAATAAACAAAGGCACGTTTTCGTTGGGGCAAACAATCGTCGTGGAACCAGCACGTCTTGCCGGCGCGTAAAAGCCGTGGGCAGTGATCCGTGGGCGCCAAGCAGGTGCTGCTCATCTACGGCCATGTCAGTGAATCGACTGTGGGAGGCTCGTCCGTGTTAGCAGGCCTGTCTAGAAGGACAATAGCAGCTTCGGTACGAAAATTAAATACATGTCGGATGTCGGCGCCCTCTGGCGCCAATGCGTTCCTTTGTATTATATTGAGCAATTCGAGGGACGAGAGATGCGGCTGCACACGCTCTGCATCATCCCTGGCATCTATTGGTTGAGTGGCGACCGGATTTACTGTATCCACACGACTTCCGACGAAAGCGCACAATTGGGATGGCCGCCACACGGTACTCTGATTAATATGTCTCAGTGACTGCGATCGACCAGCTCTGAGCGTATTGTCGAAGCTCAATAAGTCAATCTCCGACGCCTCCACGCCCGCATACCAGTTGGTCGACGAACGCTCCAAGCTCATTTTCGCAGCCCTTTTTCTTTTTCTCCTATGACCCGAGTCACATCCGAATCAACTGGACAATCTCAACCCATTCCATCCGCACATTCAATGTCCTCCCTACAGGCCCTGTTGTCAAGTTGCAAGTCAATCTGACTTAGGCCTCAGATAGCCATTCCGGGGGGAGGGGGGTGGTGCATGGCAAAGAAAAGGGGTTAATGCTATGCAATCGGAAGCGCATAAGCTCGGTTTAGCAACATCTACCGACTCTCGGGGGGGGGGGGGGGGGGGGGGGGGGAGTGAGGGAGAGGAGAATGTCGGAGGCGGTCAAGGCCCTTAGTCTTAGAAGCAAATTATTGGCCAACTCGATGGTTTTTGCTGTCCTAATGGACTGTCGATGAGTCCGATTTTGATAGTAAAACGTAACCTCGCCCCTTCTCTCAGGAGGATACGAGGCCCAAGAGTAGCTCGCACTAAGCAAACGAAAGAATTACCGCCCAAAGTGGTTAGCCTCTACTTGTCTAAGAGTTGATCCTTGGAGCTTACAGTGGTGCACTGCCACTGCCATGTGAACAAGAACTGGATCTATCACGAGCATGGATTTATGCAGGTGGCAGACCCTCGTTGATACTGCTGACCACTCGCCAACCGTGACATGAAGGATCTCCCCTTTCAATAGACCTCTTGCTGGATTCACGTGTATCACCACCGCATAATCACTGATGGCACAACGGGATACTCCACTGCCCAGCCCTTCCAAGCCTCACTATTAACTTTTCATTGGTCCAATTTGTCCGGCACCCATGATCATGGCAAAGTGTGCCATAGAACAATTCTCAACTCCGTATGTTTCAATATACTTCTCGTCACTTCCTGGGCTTTCCATGTATGCTACTCAATTATACACAAATATTTCTGAGATGATCCGCTCTTTTCACTAGCGCTGGAGTGTGTCAGAAGTCTAGTCTAGCTAAGTGCCTTATCCTTCCACCAGCCTCCCCATCTTTGCCTGTCCAATCTCGGCTAAAAATTTACCCTGGCAACTCATTAATAAGGTCTTTCGCCCAACATTTATTTTCTTCAAGCATCACCTTCACCTTCACACTTCCACACACTCATCGAATCAACTAATTCTGCCATCTCCGAATAGTCCTAATTCGCAATCAACATGTCCGAACACCCTACACCCGAAGAGACTCTGCCCGCTGCAGCAATTGTTGCCCCAGCTCCAGTGAATGAAACGGAATCTAAAGTTGTAGAGATGACAAATAACCTTCCTAAATCTGAAGAACAGCATACTGCAGCTCCAGCAACTGAACATGAGCCCACAACTGAAGAGGCCGCCACAGAAACTACAGTGAAGGATGTAGAGAAACCACAAGACTCTCCGAAAAGACTTTTAAAGTAAGTAGAGCATGCCGAATTCTCCAAGAGATTCCAAACCCAAACTAGCTGACGGCAATCCATCTCTAAACAATTATTGAAATTCTGCTAACTCACGTGAAGGGAGTTCCAACAGAAATTCGCAGGCGTCTTTCCAAAGAAGACCACAGATGGCAAGAAGGAAGAGAAGAAAGCAGAGCCAACTGAATACAAAGAAAAGAAAACCGAAGAAAAAGAGTCAAAAGATCGTTCTGCATCGAAGAAGCGGAACTCTCTATTCAACGGTTTCGGTATAGGTGCTAAGAAGGCTGATAAGCCTGCCGATGATGTTCCTCCTACCCCAGACGCCACAACCGAATCAGTTACGCAACCTATACAGCACGTTGAACCGGTAGAAGAGCCTGCTGCTGCCCCCGCCGTGGAAGAGCCTGCACCCGTTGAAATCCTAGAAAGACCAGTACCCACCAAGCGTTCGAGTATATTTGGAACTTTAAAAAATCAATTCGCGAAGAAGGAAAAGATAACGTCCCCTCTTCCCACACCCAACAAAGATACTGAAACGCCCACCACTGTCGCACCTGTAATCCCAGCCGTAGGCTCCGCTGAACCGGTAGAAAAGGAGGTCCCTGCAGCAGACAGTGCTGTTGAACAGCCAGCTAGTTCCGAACTCAAGGCCGACAAGAGTTCCAAAGTCGAGAAGCGGAAAAGCTCCTTGTTAGGATTCGGACCCAAATCCATGACAGAGAAAGCCGTAACAAGCGATGAAGAGACTGAGAAGCCCCTTTCTCCGTTTGCCAGATTCAGAGCCACTGTAAAATCTAAAACATCAAAAAACCTTGGCGACAAGAAGTCTGAAAAGTTGGACACGCCAGAAAATAAGGTTGAAGAAAACGACGTTCAAGAATCCGTAACCATCAACCCGGAGCACGCGGTCTCTACGTCTATAAATCCCGTGGCAGCATCTGCTTAGATGTCGTGCAAGTATTAAAATCAGGACAGGATGTGGAAAGCTCCACTTTGGGAAATCTCTGTTTCCTCGGCAGCGAGCTATGTGAAAAATAACCTCATTTTACCGGTCTGTTTTATTTTGTTTATCCTGTTTCGCTGCATTTATGCTGCGTATTGATACCCCATACTCAGCCTGTTTCATTGCAAACCGCCACTAGGGCACCATAGTCTAATAATTAATAATAACCTCATTTACACGCCTCGAACAATACAGCATGCTCTATTGATTGAATAATACGCTTCGAAACTTGATTCAGAATGTAGTTGCGATGATCCCACGGTACCCAAATCGCTAACACGATGTTCAATCTCTCTGGGATCACATCTGGTTAAATATGTTAAGTATCGCCGATGGGTTGGCTACTCCATGGGCAGACTGATAAAAACTTAACAAGGTTTAGCAATGATAAAAATATAGCTGCTCCTTCAGACGTTATCTCTCACATCATATCAAACTAACCTCCGCGTTAAAGTGCAAAATGGTTAAAACAAATGTACACTGGCCACGCCGCTACAATATTACTCTCTAAGCCCCCTAACATAGAACCTTTTATCTTTGACACACGACTCTTTAGGCCTGCCTGATTGATCTTCCCGTGCATAACTTGTTGACGATAATTGTGAGACATGTCCTTCCTGTGGGATTCCTTAATAGAGTGCAGATAGTGACAGTTACGAGTATTGGTGGGAGGTGGAATACACCTTGGAGCCTAAAAATGTAGTGACAATTGATGGCATACGAGATTCCTTGACGTGTTCACTCGTTAAATGTCTAACAGTAGTCGATAAATCGAGGAGCCTAGGGAGCTTCTTCCAACTAACAATGCGTCGAAAAGCTTTCCAATCAGTTCATGGTGAAGGAATGACTCTTTGCTGTGGAAAAACAAGTCTAACTCAAGGTCATAGGGTGAGCAGCAGACAGGTGTTTTGTCGTAGAGTGGCGTGTGTCCAATGGAGAAACTAATGAAATTGTTAGAATTTAGAATAATTGGGGCTATCAAGTGGGCCACGTTGTTGATCTGCACGTGACTGCAAATTCTATACTTAGTTTTACTTCGGTAGTTACTTGGATCTTTTTTATTCATTTTGTATTCAGCTATTTAGCTATGACAATTTATCTAACATTAACACTAAGTAATCAAACTCCCCTAAATAATCTTTCCCATCTTTGTTGTTCCATATATCTGCCCAGTGCTATTTGTTCTATTTATAGTTACTTGGATCAATGCGCTCTACAACCTTAATGACTGAGGAGTCATTATTTCCTCAATAGAAATGGACATGTGGTGGAAATTAATGCATGTCTTGACCGCCTTCACGGCAACAATCAGTCATGAGACCTACAACGTTATTGATTCTTCAGATTGGGCTCCAATCCGACAAAGTTTGTAAAATCTATCAGTGCAGGGTACATGGCACATGAGTCCTCGTGATACCTAATCGTGACGATACCACAAGTTGCATGAAAAGCGAAGAAAGGCATCAGACTCCATACACCAATGGCGGCGTGATACGAGAGTAAACTCACAAGAATACACCCTATACAAAGCATCGGCGTGCAGATCAACTAATGTCATATATGTGATGGATGATCAGGTAGTAAATACAGATCTATCTGCTACTATGAGCTATCAGCGGAGTTTGTGCAGAGAGGAGACATGAAGTGAATCGCAGTCAGAAACGTCTTCCACGGATCTGGGAGTAAATTGTTGTCCTAACGCTATGTGAATCCAAATTTCACAGCGCAAAGTTGGCTCCTGGCGCAAAGATCGGCGAATTTGAAGGAGATTGACTCCCACCAAAGCCTCACCAAACCACCAAGTCCACACTCCTGCACATCCTCATCTCCTCGCAGCGCGCCTCTCCTCGCAGGCCCGCAGCGAAACCAACGTCTGGACGACAAAGATTTACGGCGCGTAAATCTAGAAAGTAGATCTTTGGCATGAATGCAAGAGATGTCGGGATAGATGGAGTAAGCGGTGCCGAAGTGGGATGGAATTTTGATTTCTGGCTTATGGCTTGTCCTGTGGATGAGTATCGTGCAACTCGCGATTCCGTCTATGAGAGGGTAGATGATACAATGAAAACGGCCATGGTAGATAGTGCATTGGTATCCATGCAACTCGTCCAGTAAAGTAGAGCATATTTAGATGGGATACCCGTCCCACTCTGGATACAAGGCTGGTGGTTTGAATACAGTGGTACTTGTTCCGAATTCTCGCGAAACTCGTGAACAGAATGATGGTGGCATACTTGAATATGTAGAGTCTTTGAATCTTTGCTTTGCGTGTGGCCACGGAGAAGGGTCGACTGTTCTTTATTAGCAAACCCGCCTCATGATGGTACTTGCCAATGAAACCCGAGCATGAGTGTCTGAAGCCAATAGAGTCATACCAAATGTGTACAAGACCCTAACCACGCGTCATAACTAGATAACTGTATACACATTAAATGAATGGAGAAAAAAGACCATTTGTACGCTAAACTTACGAGTGCGCTAGGAATGGAAAAAGCCTTGATTCTGATCAAGGTATACTGGCAGTGACCGGACTAACCGTCCATGTGGAGGGCGTGTGGACATTGATCAGACCAGAGACTGCCCGACGACGTCGGTGCCTTGCTGTGATAGCAGCTAGGCTCCTATCTCGTCGCAGAACTTTGCAATGTACGAGACCAGCGTGCAGAGGGCCGTGTATGGAATAATAGAGCGAGCAGTAGAGTCCGGAAGGGGTGAGATGTCAGCAGCAAGAATGAGTCCGTTACTAATGGTGAATACAAACGACTAAGGCTCTACACCGGCGTCTCATCATGCAGCCTAAGTAATGGATCAGGACGGCCGCGCGGAAAGCTCTTGTTCCCAGGCCCACCTCCAATTTCAGCACGCAGGAGATAGTACCGGACGCCCAGTGTGTTTCAGCTATTTGTGTCTTGGACCAGTGGCCTGTTGTACTTCCAACCGGCTAGTGAAGAACTGCAGAGAGCAGGTCATGAAGGGGGGGTTTCATGGGTCGCCATCTACCTCCTACAATTTTATAGATTTAATGTGAAGCCTCCTGCATTCGCCTGCATGATGCATCATCAAGTTGACTAAAATGAAGTCGAAGATAAAAGCTATAATATTGAAGCTTTCCAGGCTTATGGCTGGTGACGTCTAGAGAAACTGGTCAAGGTGGGTATGGAGCAGACTGCTTTGGGGCCGGGTAGTCTGACCATCGTTTATTGTGATTACGGCACATTTCTAATTCAATTTACAATCGAGGGCCGACGAAACAAAATGGAGTGATTGCCTCTAGTCACAAATGCACAGTTGGCTTTAGCAGACGTGGAATCAAGATTTCCTAAGGCTTGAGCTTGTGCTATCGACTAGCTACAGCCTATTTAATGAGCTCAAATAGTGCAAAGATTCAGACATTGTAGGTTGTCCTGCTGGCTTCCGGCCCTGACGAGAGCTCTGCACTAGTTGTGGCCTGGGCCAGAGAGGAGCTCAATATGCTAGATCGTCATTGGCCAGAGTGGCACAGCAAATATCCAAATCAATCCTGGCCCGAACGAAGTGCAGAGCTTCTGCAGCGAACGTTCGAGTTCAAGCGAATGAATTATTTCTTAGGGCCAAACACAACAAGATGCGTGGCGAGAAAATTCAGCTGTGATACCGTTTGTGCGGTGTAAATCTACCCTTTGATAAGTTTAACCACCTGATTTTATTCCTCATAATTATCAATATGTAAGCTTCTCCTGAATTTAATTGGAATTGGAGTTCGAATTAGCCCCAACTCATTGAGACGAGGCCTGCAGAGTCGCATGGGGTAAAGGGCATCTCAAAACGACTAACTTTGAGGGCTGGAGCAGCCTGGTTTGCTATGAACTGGCTAGAAGTTGGTTAGGAATGGATAGCTGTAATTTCTGAACAGATAGTCTGAAAAACTATCCAATTCGGATAGGGCATGGGAGGGTAGAGATGAAGCATGGTCTATCTTATCCACCAGAATTTCATCCACATCTTTAACGAGCATTCTTCGCAGGCCCGGTCCTAGGTGACCCAATGCACAATTACGCATGTTGAGTCGCCTCATACACCTTCACTTCGTATTGGGTTCTCACGGTTCAATAGTAACTGTTGAACCACGATTCTTACCCGAGAAGTATTAATTCATTGGTGACTTTATTTTTTGGTGCTAGGCAGCGGAGGCTTCTAGGTCGACAAGAACCACGGCTCACCCAAAACTGCCAGTCTGGCCTTCATTTGGCCAAGGTTCAATGGCAACAGAGGATTTCGAGTAAATCTGCCAAACCAAACGCAGCAGTGTGACTAGGAATCTAATCAATCCCAATTAGAGAATGTTGTTTAGATATTTGTAGGTATAACAAAGGCCACGTAGATAATCTTAAATTATGCGGCTTACGGATGCCCACAACACCCTCAGCCCGCACCACCAGCACCACATTTCTGAATCACGCAAATATGAATGGCGCAGCAAAGTTCCTGCAGCCCATCACAGCCGGTAAAACCATCGCTCAATACCTTTAAACGAATCCCCACTAACTAGTCCGCAGTCGAATATGATCCGATCGAGCACCTGAACCAGATATTCTCTAATCCTTCGACCCTAGACCACGTTCAAGAAGCGGTTCATGCCCTTGACCACCACCAGAAAAACATATCCCTCGATATTAGCTTTCTCTCGGCCCAGCAAGCTCTTAAGAACGATGCCTCACTCAAACGCATGCAGAGCACTAAAAATGAGCTCGCTGAGCTATTCAACAAGATTGAATCCGTCCGAACCCGAGCCATCGAGACCGAGCAGACCATAACATCTATGACGGCTGATATCAAACGATTAGATGGTACGAAACGTAACTTGACCCTGTCCATGACAGCACTTAAGCGCTTGCAGATGCTCACCACCGCCTATGAGCAGCTACGAGGCCTGACCAAAACAAGGCAATATAAAGAGTGTGGAGGCCTACTACAGGCAGTGCTGCAACTTATGAAGCATTTCAATAGCTACAGATCTATTGATCAGATTGCCACTTTAAGTCGCAATGTGGCCGATTTACAGCGGGAGCTGCTAGAACAAGTCTGTGAGGATTTTGAAACGGCCTTCACCCGAGATGAGATTGGTCCAAAGAACCTGATGCTGGCTGAGGCCTGTCTTGTAATGGATGCTCTGGGTGAGAACGCAAGAGCACGCCTCATCACCTGGTACATCAATACACAGCTCAGGGAATATAGACAAGTTTTCCGAGGAAATGAAGAAGCTGGGAGCTTAGACAACATTGGGAGAAGATATAGCTGGCTTCGACGAATGCTAAAGATGTTTGAAGAAAAGCATGCCTCCATCTTCCCCTACGATTGGAGGGTGAGTGAGTCTCTCGCCAACGCTTTCTGCGATGAAACTAGAGAAGATTTCAAAGTTATCCTCGATAGAACCATGCGAAAAACAAACAATGCCGATGTTGACGTTAACTTGCTGTTGAACTGCTTGCAAGAGACCATGGACTTTGAGCAAAGTCTCGAAAAAAAGTTCTCCAGTGATCCCAGAACAAGCATCGATACACTTAATTCTGGAGAAGGCAAGACTTGTGCCTTTGAAAGATCAATCTCTAGCGCTTTTGAGCCCTATCTAAGCCTATGGATAGAATCACAGGATAAGGCACTGGCATCATTTATTCCGGCGTATCGGAATCAAGAGCTTCTCACCCAAGAGGAAGAATTCTCACCCCAGTCCGTTATAGCATCTTCGATTGAACTCTTCCACTTCTACAAAAAGACACTGGCTCAATGCTCCAAACTGTCAACGGGAGAATGCCTCTTGGAACTTTCCAAGACTCTGGCCAAGTATCTGGATGAGTATGCACAACAAGTCCTGCTATTCTTCCTACAGAAACCTGATGGTCCGAGTCTATCAAGTGTCATTCTGGTCCTGAATACAGCTGATTACTGGCATGCAAACACCCAACAGCTCGAGGAAAACCTGAAGAAACGGATTGATCCAGACTTGGTCGCCAAGGTCGACTTATCATCTCAAGCAGATGTGTTTATGGGGGTTGCTAGTGCAGCCGTCTTAGCATTGGTCCATCGCGTAGAGCTTGCGTGTGAAATATCGTGGCGGGAAATGAAGAATATTAATTGGAGTAAGATGGAAAGTGTGGGAGACCAGAGCTCTTATGTTGCAGAGCTTACTCGGAATATTAGCTCCGAGGCTCAAAAAATTCTACCTCTAATCTCAAAACAACAGTATGCTCGTGCATTTTGCGATAATCTTAGTGAACATCTCGCAACAGTATTCATAAGTAATGTTGTGCAGTGCCGTCCAATATCTGAAGTCGGCGCTGAGCAGGTGAAATTTCTCAAATTTTTCTCGCCGTGTACATACTTGCTAACGCAGAACAGTTGCTTCTCGATAAGTATGTCCTGACAAAATTTCTTAGCAACCTCCTTGCTCACTTTCCACACCCCGTATCTGCCACGGTAACAGCCAACTTTTCCAAGCGCGTACAAAGCTCTCTCTCACGCCTTGACCCGCTTCTTAAAACACTTCAGGTACGCCCATCACCTCCCGAAGGACTTGTACAGGCATACCTTATACATATTGGTGATCGGTCCGATGCAAATTTTCGCAAAATACTGGAGCTCAAGGGTCTGCCAAAATCTCAGCATCCTGCACTCATTGAATTATACGGTGTGCACCGGGATGGGAAAATGAATGACCAACTAATTTCAATGAGCCCTCTCCTAACACCGCTCATGAACACTAGCAATGTTACGAGTGGTCCATCATTAGCTGGCCCCAGCAAAACATTCGACCCGACAGGCCTCGGGGAGAAGCTTATTAGTGCTGCTCGAGAAACGGGCGAGAGAATGGGCAGCGAGGAGACAAAAGCGACTGTAGAGGGAAATCTAAAGAGTATCGGCAAGTTTTTCAAAAGAGATATGACTGGATTTGGTCGATTCGGTGGAACTTGACAAGGCAATGCTGATGATAATGTTAAATGAAGTCTCATGAATTTTGACTAAATATGTCTTTCCTGACCCAATATCGAACCCTACAGGGCAGAAGATGCCCAATTTATCGAGGTCCATGGCCGTTTTGCATTTTCAAGCTTGCCGAAGACTACAGTTCCTCTTTGCACCAGCAATATACCTAATTAAAGGTTTAATCATACTTTACATTGCTGTTTAAACGCTGCTCGGATACAATTTTTGAATCCGGCGCCAAGGTTGGCTCGTGGAAGACTAAGATGAGCCATCGAGAAATTTAAACAGGGGACAATCCCTGGCCAAAAAAGGGACTGGCCTCACCCAAACGAGCTTTTTGTTCTAGCCAGTTCCGGTGATCTTTTAACTAGAACCATAGGGTTTTCTATGCCTAGCGCATTTCTAAATTTAAAGTAATAGAGATCACACCTATGATCATAAATGTATATAGTTAGAGCTCGACTCCAAATAAAATAAGTCTTACATCTGCTGAGATAATGACTCCCATAAAGTTTCTTAAACTACCGCAAGATAAGTATCGAAATTTCCCAACAGAGATATATGTCCGGACAGTGTCTCTTCTTTCAGGTCACTTAACTTGACTGTGACGATCTAGAATTAATAAATGATCTGTATCTATTGTAAAATTCGGATGATTTTATTTTCTCCTATATAAGCAGGTCTATATATACATAACATTTAGACCCAGTTTCTATCATATCCTTCCAACTTACTATGCGCATTCTCAACTAGAATTGTTGAGATTCGTCTTATCTCCACCTAGCGCATACCACTTCCCAGTTAATCGTTGGCACTTCCAACTTCATTGTTACACAGCGAACTAAGAGCAACACCATGAGTAATTCTCATCACATCATGTACTAATTCAACAGATATTTTGATACCCCAATAGTATCCTCTGCATATTTTTAATGGCTCTTCCGTGAGGGGGAACTCCAGAGGGTATTTTCTGACTGAGCCGGAATTAGGCACCTCGTCATGTGAGGGTTTGGAAGATTTCTCGCTGGATTGTTGAGCTAAGTGAGTTATATTGCATGACATTCGTCAAAACACAGTCTAGTGTGGGAATCTCAGGCGATCGAGTCGAAGTGAAAGATATCAACCCACCACTACTGCCGCCCAACATGCTCTAAAGCTTCTCGAAGCACCGTGTGAGGCTCTCATCTAATTACATCAGCCCCTGATCCCCATCAGTGGATCCCTCTCGTCGTGCGAACCTTTCCACAAAATCTGGTCCCAATCCCACGCCCACCCATCGACTGGCTCCGTGAGGTTGCGGATGATGGGATGCAGGAGTCCCTTTGGGGCATACAATGAGAGGTGCGGCCGATATCGAGCAGTGGCTGGAGCCTCACGAAGCCGAAATTAGATTAGTTTCATTTTTTTATTAATTCATTTTATTGTCCGGTCTGGGTCTATGACTGTGTAGGATATGCAGGTCCTCTCTGCCTACAGGCCAGGTGCCGTTGACTCATCGACAAAGAAGCCCTCCTGGCTAATTAGCCGAAATCTTAGTCTTGGCGCCCACAAAAAATCCAATGTTGAAAACCTCTCGAAAATATTGGTCCCAGCATGGTCTTCAGAGACCTGTTCCCCTACTCGCTCCACATCTCAGCCGCCTGTCCTTCCTCAAGATGTACAACCCCATTAGAGCATCAGTCCCCCATAAATCAAGACCCCAACTTTGTATATTATGACTTAATTTCCCCCTTGCGGGTATACGTAGCGTCGTAAATTTGTAGTGAGTGATGGTCGGTAATAAATGAGGCAAGCTCCTGTTTGCAATGGGGGTAACGCGTTTATCGGTCGTCGAGGCGAGGTGGTATGTGGGTAGAAAGAGGTTGAGGACTCAGATTATAATGATGAGTGCTGCATGATTGAGAAGTCTTCAAATGGAGATTTGCATGTGCTTGCTTTCGGCTTCGATTTGGATGCGATTCTTCTTGGATATCCCAGATATGCAGAGCATACTCAGCCATTACACCGGCACCACTGGAAGCTGAAGAATTCGTCTTTGCCGGCAGATTAGTTTCATTGGCAGTCCCCTATGCGAGTCCAAGACTCTAGAATCCATGCGATGGAGTCTAGCCACATGGGAGTATTTTATAGAATCAATTCAACTTCTCTTCTCATAGACGGCGAGCCTCTTGCCCACTATATATCAATCAATCTGCTCTACTCCCCTCTCCCCAAAATCCTCTCACCTCCCATGCCGCACATTATTCTTCTTGCCCGCACTTCCCTTCATTCTCTCTACATGCCCAGGCCCAGTTATTAATCATGGTCTATTCAGCTATCTGGCCATGACCCATCGTCTTCATAATTTAGCTCCCCCAGGCTCCTTCCTCACCCATAACTTACCCCATTGTTAATTTCCGATTGGGTTTTCCTGGTTTAGTATCCTCTGTGTGCTGCCATGCACTTAGATGTGTGCGAATATTCTAGAAGAGCTTCCTTTCCTATCTTGCTTCGAAATAGTCCTAGAAGTGTTCTTGGCCCTGAAAACATCTGGCCCTTTCTCTCCGAATTTAGGACAATATAATGACCGCTCTTGCATATCCTGTCTCTCTCTCCCACAAAAATTGCACATATTACCTTCAACTTTTCCTACCATGTGCAGATAGACCCGTGCATTTCCGATTCCAAAGCTGGCCTGGATGAATCCTGGCTCTGACTCCCTGCCATGTGCTTGAAATCTGGAAGGGTTGAAAGATATTCGGGGTTTGTGGTTGGAAATATCGCGCAATGAAGTGAGCGCAGAATTTATGGAACGAAAGAGGAAGTTGATTAAAGGAGTGGGAGGTGCGTGCTACAAGTACAAGCGAAGGAGGACAAGACTGAACACCTGTACGCCGTGTCCTCTACGAACCTGGGAGTGAAATATTCTCCCAGAGCCAAGTTCAGTCAAATTTCGCAATATCAAAGAATTTGGCCCACGAGGCAATGATTTAAATTACTCCACCACGTCGTTTTTTCGCTCCCAACGAGTTTGACTTCTACCCCAGTCTCATCAAGTCTACAAGTACGACCAAGTACATCCTCATTCCAATGACCACACCTCTCTTTGACCTTCTCTGGTTTCAGTTGACCACCAAATACACGCCCACGCCAATATTTATATCCGACGGAGGAAACAAAGCATGGCGCACAAATTTGGGGGACAGTTCTTTGGGACCGGCGTGAGAGGGACGAAGACAAGTTCACAAGATAATGCGAAGGTTGGACACAGTCTCGACGGGCGTGTGATTTTGAATTTTGGCAAGAGTTTTACGAATTGGGCTTTGTGCGCGCCAACACTTCGCTTGCGAGAGTGCAGCTGACACTATAAAAACAAGCCGACGATAGAAGGTGCTGGGGTCCGCCTCCTGGTGGTGTTCTCTGGTATAGTTTGAGTTGCCTGGGTACCTTCTCCACTCGGGAAGGAGACGCCTCAGACCATATTTCGCGCGGAGACAAGTCAACAGATGATAGAGGAATGTCTGGATAACCCAGGGTTCTTGAGACGTTCCCCTGGGTGGGTATTTACGGATGAGGGTTGACTTGGGGTGAAGAAAAAGCCGCCATAACTTTGCAGTGGTACTTGCAAATGAAATCCGAGGCATGAGTGCTCTTTTTGTAAATTGAGTGTAACAGCTGTTAAGCCTAGAGATTCCTGTAGCCTACGCTGGCAAGCGCAGGCAATGAATGCAAGGTGTTACGGTTTGACCGTTGTTTTAGCTTAGGAGGAAACCTAAGCGTTTAATTAGGAATAATTACGATAAGACTGAAAGAGGAGGGATGGGCAAATAGAGATGAAATAGCATTACTAGCCAGGAGGTCGAAGCAACATCATAGCGTAATGGCTCCTGATAATACTTGGCTCAGTAGCAAGTATTAGGCCTAAGGGGAAGTTATCAGTCAGCAGATTCACGAAGCGGACGAAACATTATAAGTACCTGTTAGTAGTAGCTAGAGATTTCTTTCCTCTTCATATAGTTTAATAAATCGATTTATTCATTACCAACTCGGTTTCTGTCACAATTTAAACTATATCCCACATTCTTTGCCCGTCATTAAGTATATCGCAGCCTTAGATAACTGTGACTTAGGGCATCCTTAATTATTGGTTTTAACGCACAGGGATTCGAAGAATCAACAATGGGTTCAAATATGAACAATTTTAACATCGGAACGGACTCTATGGCAACTGGTTTATCGAACCAGGAATCAATGCCACATGGAGAAATACATTCGGAAATGCAGCGACTGGTCGAAGAAATGAAATTAAGGGAAATGGAACACAGAAGAGGTCTGGGGATGCTACAATCTCAATTGAAGAAAATGATGGAAACGATGCAGGAACGGTCCGAGGCTAACAAAAATTTACCCCTACAACCGACAAGAGCTAATGTGGGAGGCCAATCAGAATGCAGAGAAAGTTTCATAGAAGAGGAACCACTTAAATGGCCAGAAGCATACGACCATAAGGATAGAACTAAGTGGGCAATTACGCATAGAATACTTCAGTACATATATAGGCGTGATGTAGAGGAGCGATGTATTCTTCAACCATCTGACTTTTTAATGCAACTATTTAGTCATGCAGTAACTGGAACAGCGAAAGATATGATTACAGGTCAGTTTCAAAATATGCTTGCAAATGGCATGGAATGGGATGCGCTAGGGCTGTTATGGGCTATGGATAATACCTATCGCGACAGAAACGAGGAACAATTGGCGGCCGCACTATTTCATGCATGTCGACAATTCCGGGACGAGAACCTATTGTCATATCTACCGCGCTTCCAACACTTACTTTCACGAAGCCCCAGTTCGAAAGGGAATGAGAAATGCAAGATTTACCAGTTACGGAACTCTCTGAATAAGACAACTAGGAATTACATGATTGGTGGTGTGCATCCTAAAACACTTAGAGAATTAATTGATTACCTGTCGATCCTAGGTTCTGAAATTGACGAGGTTGGTAT